AAAAAAAAAATCAACACAACAGACTAAAGAATAAAGCTATAAATAAGAAAGGCAGTTCCATCCGTCCTTATTGGTGCTCAGGAGTCGTGATGCGCAACATTCGCTTCGCGACAACCAATGTTCCTCTGTACTTCTACAGATTTCAACCGTCAGAGTTACATTACTGCCACCTACTGGGTCTATTTTCCCATGGTAAATATTTCAACACGTAGGGCTCATTTTGCAGTTGGTTTATTTATTTAGGACGTTGGTGCGTACTGTGCCTTTATGGCATCCCTAACATTTGCAACTGTAGCGAAATACTAACTTGTGAGTGACATTAACTAAAGAATTTCTTACAACAACAATTTTCATTCACTTTATCTCAATTTATTGTAATTCTCGACTTTGCCACCAGGACTTAACCGTTGTTGTTCGAATCTAGGAATCCTGGCATGTGTCACTGTGTCTTTTCTGTTAACTGAAACAACTTTAACCATTAGGGCCCCATAGACCAGACCAGAGTTGACCTCTGACCTCATTTGAACGTCTCTCACACCGATATTTCTGTCCTGCTCCAAAAAACTCTGAATCTGTTCTGCGACACAGATGTATTGCTCTCAGATCCCAGAATCCCAGGAGTTCATTTAAAGCCCAGAGTATTAACAACCTCAGTGTCCTGAGATCCCAGGAGTTCATTTAAAGCCCAGGTTCACAGAGTATTAACAACCTCAGTGTCCTGAAAGGGGTTTTTGTTTTTTTCTTATTTGAGAAATGTGTTTATTTGCTTTCTTTCCTGCAGTGCCATGGAAGAAAAGAAAAAAAAATCAATATTAATCTAACGTCTTTGTGTTAAGTACAAGGCTTCAGTGACTTATTTAGTTCGAAGCCTGAGGATGGAGTCGTTCTTTTTACCTCACTCTGTAACCACTGTGTGCTGCTGCTCTGCAGACAAACACGCCACATGTCCTGTGATCTGGACATCATTATCTGGGCATGTCCGGGAATTCAGAACGTTTTCTGGTTCTCTCGTTAACCCTGACATTTTGACCCTGATGTTCCAATCGTACAGGAGTATCTGCCCAAATGAGTGGGTTTGAATCTAGAATGTGTTCTGACTGAAATCTATTCACGGTCAACATTGTTTTTTTGCAGAGTTTGGCCTGGCGTGTCATCTCGGAGTTCTGTCAGGACTGCCCTGTGTGGGTGTGGCCAAAAACCTGCTGCAGGTGCAGGGCGTGTTCAAAAGTGAGGAGCACCAATCACAGGTGAGCCTTCCTGCCCGAACGGACCAAATATTAAAACGTCTCTGTTCGCAATAGACGGACGGATTTAAAGGGTAAAACACAATTAAACTCCGATGAAGCACTGTCTTCGTTACTATTACAGATTCTCAACTGGTGGGTCGTGGGCCAAAAGTGTGTCGCTGGCCAGTGTGTGATGATAATACCCCCGTTTTGTGAGCCATATGCTAGCCGTAATTTTTTTTTTTTTTAAATTTGTGTTCAAAATGAGTACGCTGATATGGCGAAAAACTAAACTTAGCAACAAAAAAAAAAAAAAATATGGAACCACAATTCAGAACAACAATCCTCTAACAACCCTTAGATTGTTAGAGGGTTGTTGTTCAATCAACATGGCAATAATTGTTGATTGATGTGGTGTGGCGTTGTTGTGCTCATAAATAACTTTTGTTATTGTACAAATCGCCAAGTGAAATGCTGGCAACCTTGACAAGAGTCAATCCATGTTCTGTTGTTTAATGCTGTGTTTAATGCTGACTGGGTTTTAAACAACAGCAAAGAGATGTCAGTGCGGGGGGGGGAGGGGGGGGGGGGGGCGACGGCTAGGGCATAATCTCCTCTTCACTGTGTGCTCTTGCGTGCATGTAAAAGCACGCTCTTGTGTATCTGTGTGTGCGTGCGTGAGTGAGTGTCGGTGCGTACTTTGTTTTGACAGCGTGTCTCTTTGTAAGCAGCCAAGGCCTCTCTGTGTCTAATGCCGAGGCAGGTTTCTGAATACAAATCAGGCTGCAACAAATGGCTGGGCTGTAAAAAAAAAAAAAAAAAAAAAAAAAACAACCTTTGGGACGGTGAAATCTGGACGTTATTAATATGCAAATATTCACTTTGTTCCTCACATACCTGTTGAGAGCGGAAACAAAAACAAGGCAGAATTAGGTCCGGCAGCGGTGGGCTCAGAGGAAAACAAAACTGTACGATAAATGACGTAACAGAAACGACCCGCTCAGACGGAAGAGAACTGGATTCAAATATCACCAAATTCTTTAAGGGCCATCGCTATTATGTACATATACTATATACAGTATGATGTATTACAACAATTTTTTTTTTTACTACAACAACATAGCATCACTGGTTTCTTTAACTCAGTGGTTCTCAAATATTTTGTTTCATGCCCCGTCGCTAGTACGTATACTATATACAGTATGAAGTATTACAACAATTTTTTTTTTTTTTTAAAAAAACAAAGCATCCCTGGTTTTTTTAACCCAGTGGTTTTCAAATATTTTTTACTGTATGAGTTGCTGCCCCCTAGTGACTGGAGGCTTCTTATCATTCAAGCATGTGGTACACTTGTGTCCAGCGTGCCGTATTCCATTGCCAGCCCCTCGTGCCCCTCTCTGGCACCGCACCGCGCACCCGCAGGGGGGCCCCGCCCCACTATTTGAGAAGCACTGCTTTAACTGATGAGCTAAGGAGAGGATTTGTTTCCAGGAAGACTGTCTTTAAAGTAAACACAAATTGTGGCAGATGCAGGTGATGTGGAGAAGCTGAGACTTCTGAGGGAAAAAAAAACGTCTTCCTCTTCCTGTTCTGCTGTCCTCAAGGTAACTGCCGCAGCGTCACAAAGTTGACATCATGCTGTGGCCAGACTCAGACCCAGAACCAAACCCAGCCTTTCCGAATCAGCGTGATGCCTTCTGTCTGTTTACACCGTACAGCGACAGATGTGAAGATCACATTGCTGAGGGATTCTTGTGTTTTTAGCTTCAGTGGTTAAATAGAAAAACAAAAAAATCAAAACACCATCTACAAAAGGAACGACAGACACTCCATCTCCATCTCATCACTTTTAAAATTAGAAGATGAGCCTAATGTGATGGGAGAAGGAGGCGCTGTAACGGAGGCGTCCGTTAACTGCTAATCACCGCTGCGCTGCAGCTGTGTCCTCGGAAGACATGGGCTGAAGGAGGGAAATTGATCTTAGCTTACACTTGCCTCTTTTCTGAATGCTGTGCAGTAGTGGCGCTAACCACTGTGCCACCGTGACACTTCCGACCCCGCCGGTACCTTGCTAGTTGGCGAGTCCTCCCTGTCTGTGCATGGATTTTACATAGGTGTTCTGGATTCCTTAGTTGAAGAACGTGCTGATTAGGTTCATAATTAAACATGCAGAAATATTAATGTCCAAGTCCTGACCAAGACCAAAGTTTACAGAGACGGACCGGGACATTCTTCAGTGTTCCTGTCTTAACCCCTTGTGCTAACTCGGCAAGAGGAAATTGTGTAAAATCGTGGTTCCTGCTCCGTTTCTCGAGGACTTTGAATACTATTTTCTCCTTGCATGAAGTCAGAACTACAAGCAACCCTTAAGATGAGATGACAGTTGTTAATGAGACGAGTGATAACGACAAATATAACAACCGAGTCTCCTATTCGTCGCACAATTAGAAAATTTACAGTGTGAGGCTTTGCAACCAACATAGGCTGCCACAGGAGGCGCCAAGTGTCATAATACTTTCAGTAAGAGTTTGATATCGTCGACATACATTTGATGCAGGTGTTTAACTGGATTGACAGATTTAGAAATAAGCAGATCAGAAGAACAGCAGAGGGTGAACAGATGGAGGTGTTTAACTGGATTGACAGAAGAACAGCAGAGGGTGAACAGATGGAGATAAGGTTACGATGATTCAGACTGAGATAGAAGATACTGGATGTGTTGGATAAAAGAGGAGAGATGGAGATGACAGGCAGGAGGAGAAAAAGAAGGTCCCGGAGAAGTAGTGAGGACTTGACGGTGGATGCTTGATTTAAGCACGGAGATGGAGTGAGACTGAGGCTGATGATCTGCTTTAGAAACCCCCAAAAGACTCAGAGAAATCAGCAGCATTTGTTGTGACTTTTGGTCCAAAGACATTTTTTATCCCCTCAGACTTTGTCCCCGCAACTCTTTCAACTCAGCTCGGTTTCAAACCAACGGGTCAAAGCAGCGAGTTCACCACCAGTGAGACTTGACCCAGTTCAATCATCAGCATCTAACTGGCCTATTAGGAATATTTAGACTATGAAGGAGAGGTGGATTAATGGCAACGATGCCTCTGTTGTCCTAGGTTAAAGTTAGGTTACAGTACAACCACATAGGGTTGATACAATACTTTTATCATTACTTCAAATAGGTGAAAACTTGTGTTTAGCCCTGTAGGGGTCGCTCTTGATTTGAAAGCCCAGAGGCTAATGCAGCAAAATTTGGTGCAAGCTCAGATTTTGATAAGGTCTTTCTTGCATCATCAAATTTCACAACAGAGGAATAAACACTGCAGATGCTACAAGTGGCTGGATTTCTGCTGAGCGCAAGGAGTGTGGAATTTGTTGTTGTTGGTAACCTGCTGATCCACAGTCAGGTAAAAGGCAAAGATTGGTTGGTAACAAATACGACGAGTTGAGTTGAGTTAAGGTAAAGATTAGATCAAAAAACACAGAATGTTGTCATTTCATATTAAATCAATATTTTACTAATTTTCTTTTTACATCTATTCAAAGTATTTGATTTATGTAGTAACACCTTTAAAGCAGTGTTTTTCAACCTCTGGGTCGCGAACCCAGGTGGGGTCGCTTGGAATTCAAATGGGATCGCCCAAGATGTCTAGTTATTGATTGTAAAAATGATTGATAAAAAATATTTTTTATCAGCATGTAAAAATATCTGAGCTGGCGCATCTCAATTCATGGCTGCGATCACGTAAAAAAAAAAGTCTAGCTAGCTAGTGATCGCCAGAAAATTGTTATGTCAAAATGGCATCACAAGCCAAAAACGTTTGGGAACCAAAGTGCCTATAAAGACTTCCTCACCTGCATCTCCTGCCTCGTCTTCAGTTACCGTAGGTATTATTTCATATATATTTATAAACTCTGTAACTGAGACTAAATTGTGTCTGGAACTTTCAGAGACTCTTGTCCGACTGGATATTGGTTTTTTTTAGAAATCCCGATGTTTTGGTCACGCTTTGAAATTGAATGTAGCGAGATGTCGGCGCATCGCTCGGTCCTCGTGTACGAGGAGGTGTTCGAGAAGACACAGCGAGACCTCATCTTATTTCTGCTAATTCTCCGAAGTTGGCGCGAAAGAAAACTTGATACACCCTCCATTTTGAAGATTACCTCGGATGCTAATTTCCTCGGCTGAGGTGATTTCAGAACACAGTGGCAGATGAGGGTGTCGGGCCTCGAGGGGGAGCGACAATTGCATCAGCGCGATCGAGGAACCGAGTTCTACAATTTCACGCTCAGCCACTGATCTGAAGCTAATTGCTGGAGTCCGGAGATGTAAAGCAGATGCTACGCGATAGCAGCAGCATAATGAACACATCCCGGACACTTTAGCTCCAGATCGGATTAGGAGATTTAAACTTCTCCCTACAGCTGACGGGCAGCAACGTTTTCTGACGCCACAGGCTCTGCAGCTAATTGGAGTTAATGGGAGTTCACCATACAAGGACAGTCCGAAGTGAGTGTCGGTGGCTAACAACATTAGCTCGGATGACTTTTCTGAGGCATTATAGAAAGTGTTCTCTGCTCTGCAGCAGATCAATGTCATCTGATGGGAGTGTTTGCCTGTTGACATTGTCTTCATGTAAAGAGCTGGAATTGATTTATTTTCACCTAAGTGTTTCCTGTCAAAATAATCTTCTCGGATGTAATTGTTATTAAAAATAAACACCGAAGTCCAGCAAAAAGATTATTTTGATCAATTTGAAGAGTCATCCATGTGCTAATGTCACTGACGGTGTGTCTAAATGCGTGGCTTAATAACTTTGGTGGTAAAAAATATTTTGCTCAGTGTTCCTGCAGGAACACAAACCTACCATGTGAGGCAGCATAACGCAGAAAGTCTTGTGACTCCTTAAGCTTAAAAAGCTGACTTTTTTTTATGGAATTTTGTTCAGGATGTTGGGGGGATTGAACAGACCTAAGCTTTCAGCCAGTTAATGAGGCAGCATAACGCAGAAAGTCTCGTGACTCCTTAAGCTTAAAACGCTGACTTTTTCTTATGGAATTTTTGTTCAGGATGTTGGGGGGAATGAACAGACCTAAGCTTTCAGCCAGTTATAAAATATTATTTTTAAATCTCTCAGACCCAGTCTTGCGACTTTGTCTATGGACGTCGAGTGTCCGTAACAGAAATATTTCTAATTTCTGAGACATAAAAACGTATCCAAACTCTTGTTTTTCCACTGATACCACAGTGGTTTCTTGTAACCAATGTCCCCCAAAAAATAAAACAAAAGAGTTCTTCTTCTTACAGACAGTGTGTCTCTGTTATAAGATGCACTCTGCATTCATCCTGTGACCTTGAAGTAAAGCTCAGCTCTACCTACTGTCTGGTCTCTTCCTGTTACTGAATTTCCACATGATCTGAGTGCAAATATTTCTGTGCTCAGTGTGAAACAGAGGAGACTGTTGTTGTTTTTATCTAAGAGGGAATGGAAAAAAATGAAAGTCTTTTTTTTGTTTCTCTCACTTTGAAGAAATGCTGTCCTGGTCGATGCTCCTCTTTTGCTTACTCTTACTCTCTCTCTCTATCTCTATCTCTCTCACTCTCTGATGAGGACACCTGCTCCTTCCATCACTCATTGGACAGTTAACCCTTCGTACAACTGAACGATAAAAAAAATGGCACAGCTGTCAAGTTTGACCCACGTCCACGAGACTCGTTGTGTGAAAATTCACTAAGAGATGTTTTGCAAAATTTATCTCCGATTCTGATTTTCTTGGTACATGTAACGCTCCATTTAATTTTATTGCATATTTCAATTTATTCCAGTTGAAAGCATTCACAAGTGAATGTGAATTTTCTTCAGACTGCACTAATTCACCGGTTTTCTCTTCACATCAACAACTTAAAAGTGCTCGGCGACTGGAATTTTTCAAGCAGTAATTGACGATACTAAAGAGAGTAAACAAGACGTCCTGCTGACTCTGATTTATTTTCGTACAAACAAATGCAACTGTGCTTTGTCACCTGGCGGACAATGCATTTTTTTAGTATTGTCCAGTGTGTAGAGTTATTGACATACAGTAGTCTCAGAGTGTCCATCAAATGTTAGGTAAAAAGTTCAGGGCAACAAGTGATCTGTTGATTAAAAAAAAAAAACTTAAATTCTCATTGGATGCAAACACACAATAATAATAATAATAGTAATAATAATAATAATTATTATTATTTTTATTATTTAACTTGTTAGGTATTCCATGTGTTTACTTAATAATACTTCATAGTATTATTTTTGTTTTTATTTTTATTGTTTATTATTAAGACAAAAATATATATTACAGTCCTAAAGAAAAGAAAAGTGTAAAATCAAAAGCCAAAATAATAAAAATGAAAACAAGAAATTAAGTTAAATTAGGTAAAGTTTTAGTTTTAGTGTCAATTTAATATTTCGGGGAGAGACACTAAATCTCCAAATAAAACCAAAAAATCAAAACAAAAAAAAAATATATCTAAAGTTAAATCAGAGATTTTCAACATAGGGGCTGAGATCCATGGAATGTCCCCAAATGTTTTCCATGAGGTCATGGAATTATTGGTTTATCAATCTGTTTTACATCTAAAAAAAAAAAAAAAAAAAGTATGAAACTTTTTTTGAATTATTTGAAGTGCTGGATATTGAATATTCATACCATATATACAGAAGTGGGTTGATGTACAATTTATTTTTATTTATTTGAAGGTCCCATAAAAAGGTGCCATAAAAAAAAACATTTTTGTCTCGACTTGTGTTTCATTGAGTTTTATTCCAGTCGAAGGAGAATTTGAAGGATTTGAAGTCAGTGTTTAACATTTCCAGGTGTTTCAGCTTCAATTTGACACGTCTGTGATGTCACACGGAGGTCAAAGTAACAAAAAGCTTTTTTTTTTTTTTTTTTTTTTGGTTCCTTCTCTTCCACAGATAGCTGCTCTGCAGAAAGGAGGAGACAGCTTCCCGCTCACCTCCGCCTCAGGCAAAGTGCTCGGAAAGGTGCGGTGAAGGACAAATGCACAGATGTAGAAACAAATAGTTTGGGTTAAAGGAGGTGTTAGTGTTGCAGCTGAATGTCAGAGTTGAACCATATGTGTGTTTGTGTGTGTTTGTGTGTGTGTAGGCTCTGAGAAGCTCTGACAAAAGCTTTAAGCCCGTCTACGTGTCTGTGGGCCACAGGATCAGTCTGGACGCCGCAGTACGACTCACACTTTCCTGCTGCCGCTACAGGGTTCCTGAACCCATCAGACAGGTACGTGCAGACTCAGTTCTTTCGGAGGTTCTTATGGAGATCAAACCACAGGGTTTGAAATAACCTGCTAGATCAGGCGTGGGCGAACTTTTTCACCCGTGGGTCACAAAGGAGCAGATAGATGGAGCGTTGGTGTGAACTAAGATAAATGACATGTAAAAGTCATGCATAAAGGACTGAAGCGCTAAAATGCTTTCATCATTTTCTACGCCATCTATTGGTGAAACGTGGGTATTGCAGGGAAAAGTCAGAAATATAATGATAATATACATAAATTATATAATTTGGAAAAGTTTGGCGGGCCGGATTAAAAAGATGAACGGGCCGCATCCGGCCCCCGGACCTTAGTTTGCCCATGCCTGTTCTAGATGATATGAACTTGACGGAACTAATCTGTATTCGGAGAACCATAAAATCAGTCATTTTGACCGCTGATAAACTCATGGGACAATTCACTGCTGAGTGAAAGTTGTGTTTTTAGTCGGGCTGTCGAAACGGACGCATTAATGACATTGGACAGCTCATGTCCAGACCACTCCTCCTCTCTAACCTTATCTCCAAACTGCTCCACCTCTTCATCTCTCCTCCACTGCATAGATCTACTCACCCTCTCAATGGGTCAGTCCCAGTGAAGATCTCAGCATCTTCATCTCTCCTCCACCTCCAACTCTGCCTTTTGACTTCTAGAGAGAGTCACTGTCTCTAAACCTGACCATCATAGCAGGTCTCACTACCGTCTTATAGATCTTGACTCTTAATCTGGTCGGTCGACCCTCTGTATTTAAACGAATCCACCTTAACTACGACAACAACTTATTAAAAAAAAAACTCACCCTCTCATATTTAAATGTTCCTGAAGAAGCTCTGTCAGCCCCGTTGGCTTGGTTCTATCCCCAGTTTCCACGGCTAATTTAACGACTTCAGACGTGAGAGAATCTCATCGACCTGCTTCAGACATTTCCCACAGGTGATGGTTTAAATCTCTCTAAACAGGATAAGTGAGTGTGGAATAAATTGAATATCTGGAGGTTTAAATTTTTTTTTTTTTTTTTAAGCTGTCTTAATGAGTCCTGTCACATCCTGCTCAGCAGTCCTCAAAATATGTTGATGTTCGGGGAGGAAGCAACATAAAACCATCACCTTCCAAAAATGAACTTGACACTAACTGTCATTTCAGAGGAGGAATTGGAACAGGATATATAAAAAAAAAAAACAAAAAAAAAAAACACATGACCTGAAATGATCCTTCTGCCTTCCGGCAGGCTCTCTGTCTTTCCGCCACTAGGTTGTGCTGTGCTTCTGCTGTTAAGCAGGGGTTGTTGGTTTTTTTTTGCACTCCCAGCAGACATGTACTGTATATTCTCCCATTTGAAACAACAGAATCGGTTTTATTTACTATGACATACACACAAATACATCTCAGGTTCAGTCAAACAGACACCGTCTTCACGTCCTGTATGTACACCTGTGTGTGTGTGTGTGTGTGTATCTCAGGTGATGGAAGTGTATGACATCCAATGTATGGACCATAGGGGACAGCAGGCAACTGACCTATCTCTGTCCAATCTATGACTCTGACTGAATGTCCTGTTATGTCTTTTCTCTCTCATTTCGTCCCCCTTTCTTCCTCCCTCCATTTTCCCATTCCTGACTCTCCCTCTCTTTCTCTCTCCCTGTCTGTCTCTCTCTCTCTCTCAACCCTTGTTCTGCCTCTTAGAATTCTTTCCTGCCCCTCTTTTTGCCTCTCCTCTTTGCCTTTCTTCCTTGTTTTTCCCCTGTCTTCCTCCCGTTTTCTGTCCCTTTTTCCCCCCTTTCACTTTTTGGTCTCTGTCTCTGCCTTTCTCTCTTTCTCCATTTGTCTTTCTGCCTCTCGTTCCCGTCTCCATCTCTCCCTTTTCTTATCTTTTCAGCCCCCTCGCTCTATCTGCTGCACTCATCTTTCTCTCGCCCTTTTGTCCCCTCTTAGACTTCCTCCCCTGTCCTCTTTCTGTCCCCCTTTCCTCTCCTCCTCACCTTTTCTCTCTCTCTGTCTCTCTCCACCTGTTTTTTTGCTTTCTATTCTTCCTCTCAGTATTTCTTGCATTTTTTTTCTTTTTGTCCCCTCTGTTACTGTCTTATGCCCCCCGTCCCCCCCGTCCCCGGCGAGTCTCTCTCTTAATCGTTCCGTGTCCCTCTGCTCTCCCTCCCGTCCTTTCTCCCCCTCCCTCTCTCGCGCTTCTGTCCACCTCTCACTTTCCGTGAATGTTTCTTTAGTGAAGCTGTTGCAGTGATGACAAACTGAAACAGTCCTGTGGGATGTCGTCATGTAACCTCATTATGTTCTGTTTGCCCAATATTTATCTGATTTAACTTTCTCTCTGCTGGATTCATCACCTGTCTGTGTCTTTTGATTTAGATGAGAAAACCAAGGACTTTCATTATAAACGCTGCAGTTTTGTTATTTCGGCGATGGGAGGGGCGAGGGGGGGGGGGAGCGATGCTTTGACTCGACGTTTTTTTTTTTTTTTTAATCAGCCTTTGGCTGAGAACGAAAATGATGTTGTGCCGTGATTTGTCTTTTTAATTGCAGTTTTAGTGTAATTCTTTATTCCAAGGTGAACTTATCTTGTCATCGCGTCGTCGTCGTCGTCGTTGTAGCCGTGCTGAACTCTTGTCACCCCGTTCAGATCTGGAGAGGAAAGAAAGGTATTTGGCTTCGTCGAGGTCGAGGTTGAGTCGTGAAAACATTTTAAGGAGAAGAAGCTTCGCAGCAAAGAGCAGATTAAGTGATACGCCCTTCGACAAACCCTTCGCGCGTTTGTGGAAGTGGAGCTACGGCCGGTTTGAATAACCAACGTTTCTTAAATGGATCCAACATGTGAGAATTAGTGACATCTAGTGGTGACACCTCTGCTCACCCCCTCAGTCTATTGCTTCACCTGGACACGGGTCACAATGTCAACGTAAATTAATTTTGAATTTATGAAAGAAGAAATCTGAATTACTAGCCTTTGGAGATTTGTGTTTTTGGTCGACGAATGCGGACGTATACTTAATTAGAATTGGAATTTAAGAAAGAAGAAATCTGAATTACTAGCCTTGCACAGATTTTGACCACTGGCCGACGTTTATTATTTTAAGGCAACTGTTCACGTTATAAACTTTGGTGGCCCACGTCAAACAATGCACTGTGGCAGGAAGTTAAGGCAGAGAGTGAGTGAAGAAAGTTGGAAAAATACCAAATGTGCTGGTGCAGCCTTTGAAGGCAGCATCCAGGAGGAGACAGAGAAGATGAGATTATACTGCAACTGATGCAACAGATGCGGTTGTTACAGCCCGCCTCCTCCTCCCTGGTCTCCACTCGGCGGCCTTCACAACTTTTGACAGCGAATAATTACAAAATGTTCCAAACTGAACCTCCTAACACTCTCTGGAGCCTGATCGAAGTCTCGCCTAACATGATGAGTGTGATAAAGCCCCCCCCGCCTCCCCTTGCTCCTCCTCCCCCACAGCTGGAGAGAAGGATGAAAGATGACATCATGGTGGGCTTTTGCAGTGATGTGACAGCTGACGTGAGAATCTTCTGCCGCAGACTCTGATGTGTCAGAGTCAGAACCCAACCGGCTCATAGACAAACACGAAATAATTCACACCACATCTCAAGCCTCTCCCCGAAACCCTGCACTCCACACACTCACCCACGCCTTCCTCCCACATGCATGGATACATTTTTTTTTTTCCCTTCAGCAGTGTGAAAGAGTTTCATTTTGAAAGCATTATTACTTTAATTCAGGCTCACATTTTGGAGAAAATAACTACACACACAAACTCAGAAATACTTCCTGCTCGCTGTTGAAACCTGCTCCTCTGAATATTAATGCGCTACTTTCCATAAACCCAAACGAGACAAAACCAAAATGTCTTTTCTAAAATTGTAGGAAACTGAAAAAGATCTGAGGAAACGACAGAAACAAACAGGAACAAAAATCACATTATTATTAAGTACTAAATCCCCTAAAACATCGAAAACCTCTAACGAAGTCGAAGCTTAGAAATAACTTAAAGCTATCTAGAATTAGCATGGATTACATAGTTAGCTAATCATATGGCTCATAGTACTAAAAAGTACAAAAAAAAGTACTTTTAAGATGTAAGATTGTCAGGTTGGATAACAAAAGTAAGTCAGTTGCTCAAGCATGTAAAAATCAAGTTAACCGGCCAAAATTGTTACAAAATGTTGAAGAAAGAACATAAGGCAGACAGTGGTAGCCAAAAATGTGTTGAGTTGAATTACACATCACATCACAAAAGTAGCCTTGAGTTGAGCCGAGAAGTTACCCAAAAAATTAGTTTAGAAATCACTCAAGGCTTGACGGAAAACTGATGAAAAAAAAATTAAAACATATCTGGACTTAGTTAAAAATTGAAGAAGCTTCCTAAATTATAAAAAATAAACAAAAATATCCTAACATATAAATTATAAAAAATTCCTAAATTATAAAAAAATAAACAAAAATATCCTAACATAGTAGAAAACTTGAAATTAAAAATGCCCAGAAAATACCTGAAATTTGCTAAGATGACACGATAGATATGTAGATGGATGGATGGATGGATGGATGGATGGATGGATGGATGGATGGATGGATGGATGGATGGATGGATGGATGGATGGATGGATGGATGATGGATGGATGGATAGATAGATGGATGGATAGATAGATAGATAGACGGATGGATGGATAGATAGATGGATAGACGGATGGATGGATTTTTGGAACACATTGAAGCAAGAACCGTTCAGCAGACGTGCAGAGAGAGACAAAGGTCACAGTTTTACATTTACAGCCGTCAGTATGAACAGAATAGTCGTAACTTCCCTTGGATCTGACACGGTTTGATAGAACATGAGGAAACCAGTAGTAGCACAGTGGCCACTGTGACAGAGAGTGAGTCCGACTGCAGAGCAGAGGTCAGAGAGATGGAGCCGATCCACCAGGGAGATGTTACATTAGTGACCA